GGGAGAGAGAGGGAAGAACAAGCTGTGTAGACAGCAAGCCAGGAGGCGTGAATCAGTTCAAATGCAAGCTAACTTCCTCTGATCGGTGGACCCAAAATAAAGGCAATTTATCATGCTATTTCAATGTTATCTTTATTTTCACAGAAATTACATGTATTTTAAGTAACTGATGTGCCACAGGTTGTAAATTTTATCTGAATTTTTTTGAATCTCTAAATAAGATGTGGGTGCTGAGTTATGATAAGGGGCATATTAGGTGCAAGTCAAATTATGTGGACCAACAGCTTTGAAAAATATAAGCATCTCTGTACTAACAAGCCTGTATGCCAAGGACCATCGGAGGAGAGACCACACCAGCTATTGCTGAAACACATTTCCCAACACAATTAGATCTTTTATTTAAAAATAAAAACGTCAGGAGTCTAGAAGCTCGTATTTTTGTGACTGGCACCAGAGGGCGCTATAACCTTTGCAGAAGACAATGCCCAGCCCTCGCACACTTCCTGGAGAAATTTTTTTAATTTTTTTTTTTTAGAAAGCAACATTGCAGGACAGAAAATTAACACCAGCAGTATATTTTGATTTTTTCCATGTAATTTTACGATACATATTTTATCTTGTTTTTATTTTTATCTTACAAGTCAACCTCAAAAACAAAGTAGGAGAAATGAGCTGTACCATTTTTTCAGTTTAGTCCAAGAGGGGAGGTGACAGAGAATGAAAGCACATGAAATTGAAGGTGTCGTTTGCACACTAGCATCTTGCCCCCGACGATCATGCAGTGCTAACAGTGACATCCCCATCATGCAAGGACAGTCACAGAGAGGGTGGTACATAATCTCGGTGTTTAGCATGGGATGCCAAGTCTCCATGGGGCATGCTTCCCCTTAGGACTCAAGGCAAAGAAATATCAACACAGAGCAGGGAAGCCTCCTCACAACAAGCGGAATGGAGGAACTCCTTTTTTAAAACAGAATCATGTTTCATGTTTTCTCCATGGCCTCTGGTAACAAGAGGAAGAGTAAAAATGTGCAGACGATGCAAGAAGATTGCTGTCTCGCCAGGTAGAGAAACAGGTAGCTGTTCACCATCTCATTCCCTGAGACGGATGTCACACTGTGAGGGGCGGAACTGTCCCCCGCCCAGTCCATTTCAAGTGGGTCGTTAAAGTCTAATTTCAGGGGCTCCCCTTTTCGATTCCATATTACAAAACCCCGGGCAGGACAGTCACCTCACATTTCTAGGACTCGGGTTCTCCTGTGAGATAAGTATACAAAAACTGGAAGGGAAATAAATGGGAAAACCCCAATCAAATATCATATATTCTATGAGACAGAAGAGACACACCCTAAAACTTCATTTGGACATGGCAGCTTTTCCATAAACAGCAACTTTTAGATAGGCATCCTGTGTACTTAAATTACTCACTAAATCTTCTGTGTTGTTGTATCAAAATATTACCTGTCAATGACATCTCTCTTTAAAAGACTTAAAAGTATATTTTCCTTTTATGTTTCATCTCTGATGTTGTTTGTGATTTAAAGGCTCTCTGGGGAAATTATCATCATAATTACATGAGAAGAAATCGAGAGAAGTGACTAGTGGCCCGTAGTCCCTAAGCCGGGTCTCTGACACCTCCCAACACTCTCTGAAAGTAATGCATAATAAACACACTTCATTTCTTCAAGTACAGGGTGTCCCCCCAAAAACTGTACACACACTTCAACAGCGGACAGCTCAATTATGAAAAGGAAATGTATTTTAATAAACACTGCCTTTATAATTATTCAAAGTGTGTGTATACACTTTGGGGGGACACCTTATGTATCTCTTTCACCCCAGGATCTCAGAGCACCTGGCAAACGGTAGATCTTTCAGAAGGAAGGAAAGCAAGCCCAGAGTGATTAGGTTAAAGCCCAATTCACAGTCAGCAGGCCACTGCAGGAGGGACAGGAACCTGTGGGGTCATGAGGAAGACACTGTGTTTCAAGGAAAAGAAACCCCCTCAGGGTTCAAATGGGTGACTTTGCAAAAGCCATCAGGGACTCGAGCTCATGTCAGCACAAATGGCTCGCACACTCCGAGTCAAACTACCTGGACCCAACAGTGACCGCGCAAGGCAAAGGCAGAGGAGGCGCAAGTTCAAGTCCTGGCTGTACCCCCCGGGGTTCGCCCCAGCACCCCACTCTGCAGAATCTGTTTCTTCCCTGCATCATAAGGAGTAGTCAGAACCCACAGCCATCCCCTAAAGGCCACTGGGGAGGAAGAGGGAGAGCCAGAAACACACCGTCTGCAAACCATAAAGTGCTACATAAATATAAGGCATGGACTTCACATTGAAACCTGACTCCAAACATAAATTCTTTCTTAGGCTGCCTGGAGTCTTTGCAAACGTATGCTTGATATTCTTCCTAGGCCTTTGGTGCTATGCTGGGATTGTAGCAGAACTAAGAATCATTAAAAGCAAAAGACGGGACCTAAGTGTGGGGCCATCCGATTTAGCGTGTGCTGCGATGGAGCGGCAAGGGAGGGTATCCTATCGGGCCTCAGTGTGGGTCTGCAGGCTGACGACAGTGAGAAGCGGTCCTCCCCGAAACCCTGCGGAGGAGTCTGATCCGCATCCTAGTCCACAGGAGGTGCCACAGGTCCTGGACGGCCACGGGTCTGGGTCATTGCGCAGCCTCGGACCCTGTGTCCACGGGAGTGGGCAGAGCAGTCTCCCCTTAAGGTGATTTCGGTCTAGGAGAGCGGGGCATGAAATGGTGCGGGTCAGCTCCCTTAACTAACAAAGCAAATACTTCTAGACTAACTTGACCTTGAAAAATAACTGAAAGGCTTGACTGAGTAAGCTCATGGACCTACTTTGCCTTTGAGTGGTCAAGGAGTTTATACTAAATGGTCAGTTAAGTATGAATTAATGAAAAGCCAAAGAGCAGAGCACAGGATTCTAAGTCCTAGTCAAAAGCTTTTGGAAGAATTCAATTTAGGAAAAAATACTCTTAAAAAATTTATTGGTGGGTGCTGGGAGCCAGCAAACAAAAGGTTTAGAGTATGTCACACGCAGTTATTATTCCTCCATTTGCCTCCTTCCCCCAGCACGTGGGCGACACTGTGAATCCTACTCGATCAACATTCCAAGAGCTGCAAAAGGACCTGCCCTAGAGCAGAGACATGAAAGCACTGGCCTCTCCAGCCAGAAGCCTCAGGTCCCAATCCGAGGCCATGAATGGCTCCTTCTCTCGGTGCCGAGGGTAACTGGCCGCAGGTCGGGCGTCCCTTTGTGTGGCCGGTGGCCTCGCCTAGCACATTCTGCTTGGTGCCGGAGCTTTGAAGTGTTTGCGGCCAAACTGTCTGGCGTGGCCTCTTATCTCACACAAGCTTCTAGGACCAGACGTTGCTTCCTCTTTTGGTGTTTTTGTGTGTTTTTCTTTCCTAATGCTTAGGTTGTTTCTTGTTTGCAAAGTATTAAGACTTCATAGTAAAGCTTGGGGAAAGAGTCAACAGCTGCTTCCATTTCATTTGCAGATCAAACTCAGGGGTTATTTCCATTCGAATGTCAAACTCCATTTTGATTGTATAGAGAAAACGGTGTCATGTTGACGATTTGCTAGGGGTAGGGCCAAAGTGGGGTTTTGGTGGGTTGTGGTTATTTTTATGGTGAGAAATAGTCATGATTAGCAAGGGAAGACTTTCATATTGCTTCTCTAATAAAATTAGTTCTCTTTAACAACAGACCCCTAAATTTCTATTAGTCTTTAGACAAAAGACTATATTAGTTGCATTTCATTTGGTTTAGGTCATAAATAGCATAAAGTTTAAAGTTTTCTTATCAAAAGAGATAAAGAGATATTTAAGCCCTCTGCAGGGAGGGAGGGAGTAAGGGGAGGAGAGAGCAGAAAATAAAAGATTATTATTGCATGCCTCCACATTGATCCCACAAGATTTCCTGAGCATTCCTCATACATTATATTATATAATAACTCCAATGAATCAATCATCAATAGTATTTTCAATTTTTCTCGAGCAAAATGTATATCCTTTGATAATATGTACTGAGCAAAACATAGAATAATACATCATCTTTTAAAACACTTGTAATTTGACCTTCTATAAATATACTTAAATAAAAAACATATTATAGATGGTTATTCACATAGGACACAAAGTGACACATACAAAAATAAAACAATATTTTAACTCTTTTGTTGTTTTTGTTGGCTTTTTTTTCAGTAAAGATATTTAAACAATTCAGATAACAGAATCATCTCCTAGATATAAATGTACACTGTGCATAGGTGCATGCCCAAGGACAAGAGCCGCAAACATTGCTTGCTGGACCTATTACTATCTCCTACAGTGGTTCAGAAACGCTGGGAGGGAGTAGAGGCCTCGGAGTATAAGGAGATGTTTACTTTAGATGTTCGTGGAAAGGAAACACAATCAGATCCCACCCCACCCCCAGCTGGTGAAGTGTGAAGCTATCAAGCTGCCCTTTGAGTGAGGGGAACACAGAACACGCCTCCTCCTTGGGTTCTCCCACATCCCACTCGCTATGTGTTTCTCCGCTCGTGGAAAAGGTGCCACCATTGTGGACCGTGGGCAGGGATTTCAGTTCCATAAAAATATTTGTCCTGTTCCAGCTGCTGCTACAGAAAACATTCCTTCAGTCAACAAAATAACTTGGAGAGCTCAGCTACCCAACCCAGTAGAATATGTACACTCTCCTTGGGAAAACTGGTAAAAAGTGATCTTTTGTCCACAGAATGCTGTAATTCTCGAGAGCCAGGAACGGAAGATAGAGTGCTCACACTCCGCCCAGAGCCTGGCATAACTGGGGGCTACGCAGGAACACACGGGCCGCTCAACTGGACTCCGTCCCTCCGGTCTTCACGGGGACACGCCTGGAAGGAGTCCTGCTGCTGTGGGTGCTGGTCTCGCCCAGACTGCGCCTTACAGGGAGCTGATACTTGAGGAACCGGCCTGTTTTCCTTTTAAGGAAAAATGTAGGTTCTTGCAACATCTTAAAGAGCTGCTTGGGAGAAGGAGAGGGAGAATTCTGGCTTGTTCTCAAATAGAATTTTCAACAGAGCCAAGGAAGGTGGTTTCTCGAGTCCCTAGGCGGTGCCTTCAGGGGCAGACGTGGGGTCCTGCTGCTGCTGATAGATGTCCTGAATCAGCATGGTGTTCATGACCTTCCACTCCCTGTATTTTCTGGCTGTCAGCTTTGGATCATCCAGCAACTGGTTAATCATGGCCAGGTCATGTTCTTTACACTGTACAAGTAGAAAAAAAGTGGGGCGGGGATTGTAGTGAGTATCTCAGTTTCAATAAGCCACTTTCAGCCTTTTACAAATGAATGCACATACACGGTCATCAAAATTATCAATGCGTTTTACCATTAATATTCAAATCCCTATGACAATCCTAAGATATATGGCAGGAAGTCCGTTCACGTATGCTAGCCACCGAGGAATTAAGAACCCGGCCCCATGGAAGAACCAGACCTGCAGCCAAGGTCTCCTATGTGACTCTCCTCTGATCGACCCATTTTCCACACCATAGTGATATTTCTGTCTGTGACCACTTTTCCTCCCAAAACTCGTAACTGTAACTATATAATCATTTCACTGACAGCCCAAACTTCACCAAATAAAATGAAAAATGGTACTTTCTCTAAGATATAAGACAATACAAAATATAGCTTTTTGGTTTTTATTATCTTAACTTTTAATTAATCACACACATTATTTAATTAATACATGCAGAATAACTCTATGGGCCATTTTTTATTCAGACTACGAACCTTTCATGAAAACAGCGTGTATTGCACCGGTGCGAACAGAGTGTAGAATCTATTCACATTATTCACCCCGCCTCTTCTGTAAGCAATGACACACATTTCCAAAGTGTCAGGCCCAGGTCAGGGAAGTTTTCTGTAGTCAAGCAGTGATGTAAAAATAAGATGCAACAGCTTCCACATTCAAAAAGGATCACTCGTTTCTAACAATTTTATCTCAAGTCACACCACCTATTCTAAAGCTTCGTAAGGAAGGTGACGGTAAACGCAGCGCATGCACCCGTGTTCTTTACACGTAACACGATGCCAACTGCCAGGTAACATTCAGTCCACGTACACGGATGAGCCACCCGCTCTGCCCACCCCCAGGGCGGCCTGTGAGCAGCTAAGCATTACAGCCGCGCTCGCTGCTTACAGGGCAGACTCAGGACCGCTGCCCCGACGTGGACCTTCGCTATCGCCCAGTCATCGTATTTTCTCAACCCTTTCCTCTCTCGCTCTCCCAAATGACTATTCAACAAAAACTTCTCGTCTCTACTCAAACCTTGACCCCGTCCTCCCTGCCGCTGATGACCTTGCGCTATTTTTTTTAGGAAAGAGAAACGAGAAAAACGTTGCTCCCAAATTCTTAATGCCCACTACCTGCTTCTGCACAGACGTATCGCTGCCTCCCCTCCGCTCATTCGGACGGAACACCTACGCCCCTGGCAAAGGCCCATCTCCCCGTTTGCGGTACCCGTCTCATTCTCGCCGGCGAGCCTGCACGCTGCAACGGCTCCCGTCTTAAAGGCCCTCTCCTGACCTCGACCCCCGTTCCGGCCAATGTTCCGCTTTCCTCATTGTCTCCATTGTCCCTGTGCCCATTCTTTCAGGCCCGCTCCCACCAGGCTTTTGCCCCAACCATTCTACCAAAACTGCTCTTCTTAAGGCCATCGAGGACCTTCATGTTGCCAAATACATAACTGATTATTCATTTTCAACCTATTTGTAAACTGTTGGCTACTCCTTGAATGCTTCCATCCTGTCGCTTTTGCGACACATTCTCCTGACTTTGCTCATCCCAGAATGGCCACTTTATTCCCAGTCTCCTCCGCCAGAGGCGCCAGGGCCCCAGCCTCCAGCCTCCGGCCTCCAGCCTCCTCTCTGCTCCGTCTACGTTCATGCTGGCAGAAATCTCGTGGGATCCCTCCCACTCTCCCGTTACACTGAGGGTCACAAATTTACCCGCCAGCCTTTCCTCTCCCTTGAATTCCATACCTGTTCGTCTAAACTTCCTCTTCAGAAGCTCCATCTACACATCCAATAGGCGTCTCAAATATAACATGTCCAAAATGTCCCAAACTAAGTTTCTGTTGCTCTCTGCGTGCCCTCTCCACCACCCCAACTCCCGGTGCACGCTGAGGCCTGCTCCGCAGAACACTGGACGGCATTCGACCTTTCCAGTTGCTCGAGTCAAACACTGGAGTCACCCCTGGCTCCTTTGCTCACTCCCAACCCACCAGAAAACCCTGACGTTCTATCTTCAGAGTATGTGAAGCCACAGCAACCTCTGTTGAGAACCTTCCACAGGCTTCCTAGCTCACTCCAAGCAGAAGCCAAGGCGTCTGCAATGATCCCGGGCGCTCCGCAGGGTCCCTGCAGCCGTCTGCCCGGCCGCCGCCCCCAGGCCTCACTGCGCCCCAGCCACACCGGCCTCCCTGCTCTTTCTCAAGCCCACCCCAAGGCATCTGCGTGGAACATTCTTTTTGTTTGTTCTTTTTGCCTGGAACATTCTACCTCAGATAGACTCAAGGCTCACTCCCTTTCCCTTTTTCAGATTTTTCTCAAATTCCAGCTTTCGAAGGCTTTTCATGCCTATCCTAATTCACAACCAACCCCTCAGCATTCCTTACCCCCCTTCTCTTCTCTATCAAATCTATCTTCTCTGTGCACTATAAAATTACTTACTTTGTTTGCTCATTTCTCCCTCTACCTAAATATAAGCTTCACGAAGGCAGGCAATTTGGTGTGATATGCCCACAGCTATGCCCCCAAGTACCTGAAAGAATGACCTACACATGGCGGACACTCACTAAATACTTGTTGGAAAAAAATTAATGTATGAAATAAGAAATGAATGAATAAACTACTTATCCATTTGCTTTTTAACTTCATTTGCATCATGAATCATATCTGGAGCCTGAGGAAATCCTCTCCATAAACAAACAAAAATGTTTTTATACATATTATATATATAATATATCACATGTTATATGTTATAAATGTATATTATACATCTATATCTGTCTATCTATACAGACATTTAAACATAGTTTTAGGGATTCTAGAATTGTCACCATTTATTTTATGCAAGTGAAGGATCTGGTAGGAAGTTGAGCAAGGTCAAGAGAGTTTTCTGTCTTCTCTCTGCATTCTTGAGAACATTTATGCTTCAAAAACCAGTATTTTCAAAAAAATAATGAGCTTTCATCCTCTATCACCACAGTGCTATTTGTGTGAATTTACTTAAGGATTTTTACGTTTGCTCTAAAGAAATTTGACATCTGCTCAGAGAGACATCCTAACATTTTACTGAAAAACTAAGTAAGATCCTTGCAGATAAACAAAATTTAGAAAATTAATTTTTTAAAGGCAAAAATGAACTAATCACTCCTCTAAATCTGGTTAAAAATTATAGGAAAGAGTCTCTTCAATTATGAGTTACACTACACATGTTTTAGGGTTCTAAACAATTCAAATTTTTTACCATTTGATTCAAGTCTGTGTTAGTTCTTTTATGGAAAGAAGAAAATATTGTAGACAAGAATTCAGAGGAAGGAAATTAATGAAACAACAAAAACTGAGCTCCCTCCTAGACCCAGCACCCTGGACTCAGCAGCGTCAGGCACCGCCCTGCTCTCCCTGTAGTACAGGAGGCTCACCCCACACCTTGGACAACTTTTACAACTTCAGCCTTGCAGGCTGGGCTTGGTAGGTATTCCAAAAAATACTGTGAAATACAGATGCTGTGAAAGACAGATGCTGTAATTCCATCTTTCACTCCAAATATGCAGTAGATGGCTTGATTCAAGATCTACACACTGGAATTGTTCTATGAGAGCAACTGGGGGAAAGAAGGGTTAGTTCCTCTTGACATAGGCCAGGGAAGCCTGAGAGAAACTTTCAACCATTAATCATTCCAGTGGTCATTCATTATAAAACAAAGGCCGATGCAGCCAAAGCTCAGTGGATGGTGAGCTAGCAGAAATCCGAAGGGTCTATATCAGAGCATGACATGAGAGTCCGCTCAGCACCCTTGAGAAACTTCCACAAAGAGCATTTGTTCCCATACATCCCAGTGCAGGGACCTTTCTTTATTTATGGAAAGTGCCTATCACTAACGTAAACATTATTGTTAATACAGTTTCCTTGTTTCTGCATGAAACTATTGTGTCTGCTTGTCCACACTCCAGCTTTGAAGTGTTTTTTTTAACTAAATATTGGTATTGCAATGTAACATATACAGAGAATAGCTCACATATAATAAGGCTTGTGCTTGATGAATTACCAAAAAGTGGATCTGTCTCTGTAACCACCACCAAGGTCAAAAAAGGAGGGCCTTACGCAGCATCTCAGAGGCTGTACTTGTGGCCCTCCCATCATACCCTTCCCTCCTCCTCAAAGACAGCCACCATCCTGACTGCTTTGAATTTTAAAGCCAGTCAGAGAAAGACAAGTACCATGTGATTCCACTTATATGTGGACTCCAATGAACAAAATAAACTAACAAAACTGAAACAGATTCATAGATACAGAGAACAGACTCACAGCTGTCAGAGGGGAGGGGAGAGGGGAGGGGGTTGGGTAAAAGAGGTGAAGGGATTAAGAAAACAAACAAACTCATAGACAGACAACAGTGTGGTGATTACCAGAGAGAAACGGGGGAGGGGGAAGGCAGAAGACAGTAAAGGGGGGATAAATGGTGATGGAAGGAAATTTGACTTAGAGTGGTGAACACACAATACAATATACAGATGGTATATTAATATTAGAATTGTACACCTGAAACATGTATAACTATTAACCAACGTCACTCTAATATATTCCATTAAAAAATTAATTAATTAAAGATAGTTAAAATAATCCTTATAGCCTACTGACATGAATAAATACACATGTACCAAATTATCTTTCTCCAATAAATAGTTTGATGTGCTTTTTTCCCCCACCAAGTTCAAATTCCACATAATCATGTCTTCCTCCCTCCTGATGAGGCTACAGGACTGCATGATTTGGATGACATTTCATAGCCCCAGCATCACACTTCTGTGAGGCCTAAGGGATCTGTGGGAAGGGCTCCCTTCTGGGAATGTAGAGAGAGAGCAGTTCTCCAGCTGGGTGTCATAACCCCTGGCATGGCCCCCTATGTTCCTTGCTCCCTGTATAATCCCCTCTGTGAATCCAGCCTGACCTGGCGACTGGCTTCTAATGAACAGAATACTGTAAATACTGTAAATGTAATGTGATGTCATGATTGACACTGGATACGATCCATCTTGCTCACTCACTCTTCTTGTCTTACTTGCTCTCAGGGAAGCTGGTTTTCATTTTGGAAACTACCCTATGAAAGAGCTCCAGGGCAAGGAACTGTGTGACTTCCCACCAACAGACAATGAACAACTGAGACCCTCAGTCCAGCAACCTGTGAGGAACTGAATTCTGCCAACAACCTCATGAGAGAGCCTGGATGTACTTGCTGCCCCAGCGGGGGAGTGGATGCAGCCCCAGCTGATGCCTGGATCACAGGCCCATCAGGGGGAAGCATCTCAGCAACCAATGCCCAGATTCCTGACCCACAGACATGGTGAAATAAGTGTTTATTGTTTGTGGTTGCTAAGTGTTGAGATATTGTGTTACCTAGCAATAGATACCTAATGCACGGGGAGAAAAGAAAAAGCTGAATTAATCAATTCCGCGGCAACATTGCATGGAGAGCAGGAGGTCACAGAGAACTGCATGGGCTGCTAAAACCTTTGAATTCTTTGTCCAAACCCTTCCTCTCAGTGGCCAGGCCAGGCATGGTCTTGTGATGGTCTAGAGCCCTAAGACTGCTGTTCTATGAAAGGCAAGAACACAGCCTTTCTCCTTCTGGAGTGGCCTGCACGGTCCCTCCCCTCCTTAGCCTCTTTCCTATCTCTCCCAGCATGCACTAGAACATTATCCACTGACATACACTTACCCAGGCACTTCCTCCTCCCTAAACACAGTTCCTTCTCATCCGGATACTCTTCAACTCTTACTCATTGGTCAGTTGTCAGCACTGTCACTAACAGCCTCAGAGAGGCAGCCACTGTCCTCCTCTGAACTACCACAGCGCCCCACGCTCGTATCAACTACGACACTTAGCACACTGCATTCTAACTGCTTTCCTCTCTGTTTCCATTGTCCAGTGGGGTCCATTCAATGGTCCCAGTGCCCTAGAATAGTGTCTGGTACATAGTAAGATTCAGGGAATATTTGTTCAATGAAAAATGTATTCATTTATAGCACTTATCACAAATAAGATAGTAAAATCCCAACATACAATGGCATATTATATCAAATAACCAAGCATTTACCTACTCTGTCCACACTATGAAATATAACATATTTGCCTCTGAAATGAGGGCTAGTGATGTTTTACATCAACAAATGTTAGGGAATTTCTCTGTGTTTGAATTTTATTTGTTTAATTAAAATGCCCCTTTTCCTTTTATTTTTCAGCCTCATTTTTGCATCCTTATAGGGTGCTGAGGTCTTCTATTGACTAATTGGGACATCTGACTAAGAGCCACTCAGCCATCTCTCTGTAGCCTTGTCCTTTGCTGATATTTCTTCCTGGAAAGAGGCTCAAAAATCTTGATGCAAAAGGACATGTACAAACCAGAATTAAACTGTAGGATCTATTAAGACTTTTCAGAATCTATAAATCCTTTGCTAATTCAGGACTGTTTGACAAAGTACCCTGGCCTCCTCCTGTTTGTGCTATAATCTAAATGTGAAAGCACAATGCTTTGGCTATAAGGAACCATTTTAGTTACAGGAGGCCCTGAAAATAGCTTCAGTACATCCTGTACACTGTCCCTCATTCCCATTATGAAAACATCTGCTGGTCTAGTACCATGAAGTATGTATTTCCTACTGCTCAGCTTTCATGGCATATCTTGGCTGCAGAGGCTACAGCTGAGGGTCTTTACTGCATTTAAAATCTAGAAAATTTCTTCTGTCTGTAGCACAGAACAATGGCGCTTTTTGATAAATCAGGTGAAATCCCAAGATCTTATTAATATTACTGTTTATTCTCACTAGTCAACTATCTTAAGTTCTCACCAATATTTATTGTGTTAGGTAAAAGGGTACATACACAAAAATGACATGTGGTCCTTGCCTCCTAGCAGCTTAACATTTGAAATTTTATATTAGAGTGAATGTAAAAATCAAGGCCTAGCTATAAAAGTAGATTGGTTACCCTGTGAATGTTCTAGTGATTGAAGAACACCAAGGGTCATTTCGTCCCATAGAGACTGGATTGGCTTATACTGAGCCACTTTCCACCCACACAAACACACAGTGGCTCGCATGAATCTCTGCAGAACCAGTCATTCTTTACCCCACATCCACAGAGTTCATCCACAATATGAAATTTTGTACCTTTAATGTGCTATTCAAGGTTCTGATTTTGTGGAGTTTCTCATTGATGGATGGATTTTTACACCGCCTCACGAAGGACTTTCTCAACTCCTTTTTGGTTGAAGGTCGTCGGTCCCCAAGAGGAGATAGACTGGCTTGCTCTAACGATTTGTAGAGCTTCTCCATTTCATCATCTTCAGTTACTTTTGTTTCTTCTATTAAAATAAAAAAGCAATAACAATAAGCCCAGTTAAAATCAAAGTGAGAACATTGGACACTGTGGTCCTAAAACAAGGCCCTGCTGACACTATGATCTAGACTTCTAGCTTCCAAAACTATGAGACAATACATTTTTGTTGTCTAAGTCACTCCGTTTTTGGTACTTTGTTATGCCAGAGCCATGTTCCCTTTGAAGGTACGAGGGAAGGACCTGTTCTAGGCCTCTCTTGGTGCTTCTCTTGGTTCCTAGGCTACTGACAGCATAACTCCAATATTCACAGGGTGTTCTCCCTGTGCACATGCCTGAGTCCAAATGTGTCCCTTTTACAAGGACACCAGTCATACTGGATTAGGACTTACCCTACTGTCCTCATCTTAATTACATCTGCACCTACTCAATTTCTAATAAGGTCCCATTCTGAGGCACTGGGGTTTAGGACTTCAACATAGGAATTTTGGAGGAACACCATCAAACCCATAATAGTCCACCATCTAGCCAGCCAAAATTCATGTCCTTCTCACATGCAAAACACATTCATATCTTCCCAACATCTCCAAAGTTTTAACCCATCCCAACATCAATGCTAAATCCAAAATCTAATCCAAATATCATCTATATCTGGTATTGGTGAGATCCAAGGAATGATTCATCCTTTGGCAAAAATCCTCTCCATCTGTGAACCTATGAAACCAAAAGAGTTATGTGCTTCTAAAATACAGTGATGGACAGGCAAACTCTAGCAAACTAGTACACACCCTAAGGCCTAAGAACCACTGCCCCAGATGACTTTTAATGTTCTTCCTAGAACTGCCGTTTGAGAGAAGAAACCTGCCTGTGGTCTGTGGCTTTGAGTAAATAATGACCATTCTTTGTGACTTCTCCACTCACATTCCTAACCAGGCCTTTCCAACCTCAGCCCAAATGCTTCTAGTGAAGCAACTCTACCCAAGATCCAGGGGACCTTATGTGCTAGGCCAATCCAATGGCAGTTCCATCATGCTGGACAGTCACTGATTTAGGAATGAGCATGGGTTGCAGGTCAGGCCAGTTGGGGCCAGAGACCTCTGTTCTGAATTTTAGTTTGGGGGTATCAGGGAATTAATCTATTTTCCTAAACTGAGTGGTGTGATGATGTGAGCTAGAAGATTCCAAGAATTACACCAAGAGTCATGAAAATGGAGCCAATCTATAGGACACAGCTGAGACATGTATCTTAGTAACACGATTGGAGCTCTCTCAGCTTATGGGAGCCAACATACTGCCTCCTTAAGATAACTTTGGGTGTGGTTTCAGTCACATGCAACTGAAAGGACTGCAAACAATACAGAAGGTTACTCAAAAAAAATCTTCTTATCTTGATGTTGCTTTAATTTCTTACTAAGAACTTCAGATCTTTATTCCTTCATTCCTTGAAAATAAATCTTGGGAAAGATACGCAATGAGATTTCTCTTCCACCACATACTCCTTAGAGTCTATGCATTTCACTCCTGTCCCAAGAACAAGCTTGATAGAGGACCATATACAAAGTATGGCATTAGGAGGTACTAAAAATAGGCCTCTGCAAAGGGGAGAGGAAAGCATACAATAGTAATCTAGGACCATCAAAATCGAGCATATTTCACTTACTTTACAGTTTACTGTTGTAAGATTAGAAATCTTTAATCAGTAATTAGTTTTCCTCCATTTACTGCCAGAAAGTCATGATAGGTGTTCCCAATACTCTTTCATTAAATGGAGAGCAAAGACATTGGACTAACTTTGCAACTAACTTAATGTATTGGTCAGTAAACCTTTGTTCTTTGCCAAAACAGTCTCAACAACAACAAAAAAGTGAAAATATTTAAAACTACATTTGAACATAATTCGGCTTTTTGACTCTGGCTGTGTGCAGATATCAACAGATGGATTTTTGTCAAGCACATGAAAACATTCTCAACCGTCATTAGCCATCAGAAAAATGCAAACCAAAACCACAATCAGATACTACTTCACATCCATGAGGGTGGCTAAAATAAAAAAGGCAGACAACAATAAGTGTGGGTGAGGACATGGAGAAACCGGAACCTTTATACATTGCTGGTGGGAATGTAAAATGAAGCTACGGCTTTTAGAAAACAGTTTGGCAGCTCCTCAAAATGCTAAGTGTAGAGTTATCATACAATCCAGCAATCCCACTCCTAGATATATACTCAAGAGAATGAAAAATGCGGTAACATAAAATTTGTACATGAATATTCATAACAACACTATTCACATAGACAAAAGGTTGAAACAGTCTAAATGTTCATCAGCTGATGAATGGAAAAACACAATGTGGCCTATACATACAATGCAATATTATTCGATAATTAAAAGAACTGAAGTACTAACCATGCCACAACATGGAAGAACCTTAAAAACATTCTGCTAAGTAAAAGAAGCCAGTGACAAAAGACCACATGTTGTATGAGTCCATTTATATAAACATCCAGACTAGGCGAACCCACAGAGACAGAAAACAGATTAGTGGTTGCCTGGGAAGGAAAATGGGGAGTGACAGCAAAAGTGTATAGGTTTCTTTGTGTGGTGCTAAAAATGTTCTCAAATTAGATTGTGGTGATAGTTGAATAACTCTGTGAATATACTGAAAACCAAACTGTATGTTTTTATGTGTGAATTTTATGGTATGTAAAATATATCTCAATAAAGCTGTAAAGAAAGTAGGCTTCTTTGAGATTATCATGACAACTGATGACGCCTGCACAGAAATACTAAGCATGGTAACAACCTGGCATTTAAACTTGAGCCATTAAGAAAATTAAATAAAAATTCATCTGAGCCTTAGAGGGGACATTCAGATTGAGGACTCTGGCAGTTTTCAGACACACAAGAACAGGGTAATTTTATATACAGGACAGGGCAAAAGAAGGTTTACAGTTGTTCGTATGGTAAATAATACAATAATTGATAAATAATAATACAAGAATAAACTGTTTCACGTACTCACAACTGTAAACTTACTTTTGCCAAACCCTATATTTTTTTTTATAGCTAGGCAGGTGGGACTTTACTTTGAACAAAGTCTATATGCATAGCTTTCAATACCACAGTATTTTTAAAGTAAGTAATACATATTTAATAAACTTCAAGAAGAAAATCAAACAAGCATAAAGACAAAGAAGATCAACAGAATGGTTTCTTTAAGTCTCTGTTCAAGCTGTTCAGTTATTCTACTAAAACTTATGAGAGAAAATAAGATCACTTTTGACTCATACATTAGTTTGTAATTATGTCAGAGTAAAATGATTATATTAAGACTATATGTCTAATTCAACAGATATTCCATTGGTAAAGATAAAAATAACTAGAATCTTAGAGTAACGTGACAAAGTACATTCCATAAGTGAAAAATAAACGGGACTGTCTTTTTGATAATTATATTATTGTTTAACACACTTATATGGATATATATTATCTTATGTTAAAATATCAGAGGCATCGGTCTTCCATACACACATATTCCTTTCCCTGGCTTAAACTTTGGGACATTAGCAATGAGAATATGGGGGTGGGGGGAGGAGTGAGTGTCTGTGTGTAACTTTAAAATTAGCATATAGGTAAAGCGGACCTATACAATTACTGAAGTTAATATAGAATTCACCTAAAATATGAGCAAATAATATTCTCTATTTGGATTCATTTAAAAATTGGAGATAATAGCTAGATAAGGTTAAAGCTGCTGGAAAAAGAAGGGAAAAAATGAAAGCAAATCGTTACTGCATTCTTCTTACCTCTCAGCCATCATCTCGTTTTAGAGAAAACCTTAAACTGAAAGCCTATGTGTCTAACGTCTAATTATCTGACTCCAGAATAGCCTGTAAACGTAAGGACAATAAAATAACAAATGGGGCTGTGAGTCGTCAGTAAAAATACCCTTATTGGCGCTTTTGTGTCATAATCCGAGAGACATACGATGTATTGCCAGATCCCCAGGGGACATACCTGTGATCTACCCGAGGACCTTATATTGTTTTTACTGCTGCTAGTGCTTGGGTCGCCACAGAGCCATAAAACGAGCGCTCGATAATCATGGAAGCAGGTGATAAAGAGTCGTAGGGAACAAAGTGCCCAAAGGGCAGAAGAGCACCTGAGCCCGAAGCAGAGGCGCCCCTTTCCCAGCTGCTACTCGAGGACCAGCCCCGGCCTGCTGGCCCGCAGGACTAGCCCTGCACCGTCCCGGGGCTCTCCTTCCATAAAGGACTATTGTCAAAAGCTCCCTTTCATATTTTCATGTAATCATTCTTCTAAATGATAATTACATATTAGAAAGCACTAGATTATTTCTCTTATCCTACCAGATGGTAAAAAGAGCAAGAAAAAAGACTGGCAGGAAAGACCACTGTTCTCTCTCCCACTGGGATCACAAGCCAAGTTCATTATTTCCGCTTCCCTTGTCTTCTGATACAAAATAAATGAATTCTGTCAGACAGTCAAGTGTTTCCAATGCAATTGTTATCCTTCCTCTCAAGAGTGTATTTTAGTCTTACACAAAATAGGGAGGCTAACTTCCTTCTCTACAGAAGATGCTTCATAGTCCATCTCATCTACCCTCACAAGCGCTTTGCCAAAAAAGGTGAAAACTATTTTATTTTACGGATGAGGGAGAAATGGAGATTCTTGAAACATAGTAAGCAATTGTTCCCAAATGTAAATTGGTGATGGAATTAAGAAGAGAAGTTCTATTCCACACCACGCAGGCCAGTCTTCTCGAACTCTCACAGGCAAACGTCACCCAAAGATCTTGTTCAAATGCAGATTCTGATTTAGTCGGGCTGGGATGGTGCTGAGATTCTAAAGTTTTAACAAGCTCCTAGGTGACGCCAGAACTGCTGGTCATGGACCATACTTTTAGTGGCAAGGTTAGACTGTCTGTCATCAGTGTGGCTTGAAACACCAGTCTCAGCTCATCAGAAGACAAAGGGATTGGAGTCTCAATGAGAAAGATGAGATTTGTC